AAGGGAGGGAAAAATCAATTTCCCCTGTGATGGAGGACTGCTCACTCCTTAGTACCGACTGAGTAATGCAATGCTCTGTTTTAGAAAACATTATTATTTCTATTATTAATATCTTATTATTATTTTAAGAAATGGAATTAGAAGCCTGTAGGTTGCTAAACGGGACACGGTGAAATTTCTTACCTACTCCTGAACTCTGCTGAGCTAATACTTGGACCTGCATTTCACTTTGTACAGATGTCATATAAACTGACCCCAAGTACTCGATCACAGCTTCACTTCTTTTCCTGTGGTTGCTGTGTTTATTTTGGAACAGAGAGCCTGCAGATGTAGGTTTCCCTTCTCCTGCCCCTTAGGCACATGACAGGCTCGGCAGAACAGGTAAGCAAAATGTGGCCCACAGACCTTTACGTGAAATGTTAATATCAGTGTTTTCCAGGTGCTGTTTGCTTACTGGTCCTGATAAATCTTATACTGGTAGAATCCTGTTTTAATGATTAGCATCAGTACATCTGGTCCTCTATAACAAAGATATTTCCAGGTCCCAACAGACGGCCCAGTGTAACAGAGCTTTACTGATCTGGTTTCAATAAATCTTAACAAAAAATTCTATATAACAGATGTTTTTTCACTAGTCCCTGTTAATGTTTGGATGGTTCTTTATATTAAAGGTAGTGTGATTTGGGCATTTAGTTGTGCTGTTCAGCATAAGCTATTTTTTAATCAATTGACTGATTTGACAAAATGTTTAAGAACGATTTTTCTTTCCTTTTCTCGCGGCACCCTTTTGGAAGTATCAAAAGGGCTGATAGAAAGTAAAATGTGAGGTGATTCTCCAAATCAAGATAAGAGACTGGTCACAAGGCTTTTCAGTAAAGGTCCCCTTAGAGAAAAAAAAAATAATCAAGCTTTTGCATACAATGTAGCAAGAAGTCTTCTGTTAAATTACATCAGAATGTAACTATACAATCTGGATGTCCTGTTCAGTTGATTCAATGAGGGGTTCCGGCACTGACCTTTTTAAGGAAGAGATTATTATTTTCCTATAATAACTCAAGGTTTTTTCTTTAATTTTTTAAATAGGAAATATCGGTGTTCAGCGCTCAAACCACTGCAGCGTTTGTGATGCATAAAGTATGTATAAATCACGGGGAGTGTTTGTTAGCTGACCAATGTCCAGGAGCGATTATCAAATAAGAACTTTCTGTTTTTAAACAGCGTTGATCCTTCTCAACCTAACATCTGCCTACAGAGCCGCCACGCTTAGCAATTCTTAGGCTATTCAATGGTTTTTAAACAGAAACGCCAACTCTACATTTCCGGATTGTTGATGGACACTCATTTTTGTACACAAACAGACACCAGGAAGGGAAGTACGATTATCATGCTGTGCTAAGGAAAATAATACAAGTGAGAAAATATTATTTTTAGATAAGACCACTTCCTAAACCTTTAATGCTATCTCACAAATCTGTCCCATTATGTTAGAATATGAACATGTATGACACAGATTTCTTCCTACCAAGGACAATGCTTCGTATCTATCTAGACCCTGGTCATTTTCTTTCAGCACTGCTCAACCCAGCATTTCATGGCCAAGTCCAAGAAGACAGGACGGTGAGCATTTCCACTCATTGGAAAGAAAAGGGAGTTATGTAAGAATAAGCCTTCAGGGGTCTGCTGGGCAAAATAAGTCCAAAAGAAGAAACAGAACAGCCTGTGAGGATTTTGATTCTGAGTTGTCCATACACAGTTCTCCTTCTATTAAAGTATATCAGCACTTTTGACTTCTCCTTTTTGTAAAAATAACCCGTTTCCTCTTGTATTTCAAGGAAACTACTCCCATAATTTGTAGATGTTTAATATTCATTCCCCTCAATGTAATTCATATATATTCACTGACACGTAAATATATAGAATAATAGCACCCCCAGGGGCAAAATAGCCTTCTAGGAAGTTAGATTCAGGACCCTCCGGTTATAAAAGTGTTACTTTGTCTTTCGTGTGTGACCATTAGTTTAAAAAGGTTCTTTAAGCCTCTAGATTCTAGAATATCCTAGACTTAAGCCCTGGACCATGCCTTATTTAAAAGCCCTCTGCAGGGGCACCCAAGTGGTTCAGTCAGGTAAGTGTCTGACTCTTGAATTTGGCTCAGGTCATGATCTCAGGATCCAGGGATCAAGTCCCACGTGGGGCTCCACACTCAGTGGGGAGTCTGCTTGGGATTCTCTCTCTCTCCTTCACGCTCTGCTCACACTCTTTTTCTCTCTCTCTCTAAAATAAATAAATAAATCTTGAGGTGCCTGGGTGGCTCAGTCATTAGGCGTCTGCCTTTGGCTCAGGTTGTGATCCCAGGGTCCTGGGATCGAGCCCTGTGTCGGGCTCCCTGCTTTGCAGGGAGCCTGCTTCTCCCCCTCCCTCTACTGTTCCCCCGGCTTGTGCTCTTGCTCTCTCTCTGTCAAATAAATAAACTAAAACAAATAAATGAATAAATGAATAAATAAATAAATCTTAAAAAAAATTAAAAGCCTTCTGTGGTGTTCTCTGTATTCTAAACTGACATCTCATTTTATTGACACTGTTCAGGAAGACGTATTATATTTACAGGGTATGTATACAAGTCGAGGTCTTCCAGTTAAATACAACTATGGTGGCACAGCTCTGCATTAATTATTAATAGGGCAAAAGATAACTCTAAAATACTCAATTATGAGAATGGGACATCTAACATGCCTAATGTTCAGCCACCAAACCAAATATGATCGACGTCAATGTTCTGGGGCTTTCCCTGGGCATAGGTGGGAAGAGGCCCAAACAAGGAATTTAGAATTACTTCTCTTCTTCCCAAACTCCAGGTGGGAAGAGGCCCAAACAAGGAATTTAGAATTACTTCTCTTCTTCCCAAACTCCAGGCCCCGGGAGCCTCCAAACGGGCCTGCTGCAGACACCGGGTGTTTATCAGGGCACCCCACATAATAGATCACCTCCACCTTCCATGATGGGAGTGCTAGGCTGGCAGATAAACTGACCTTTGGGCTAAGGTGTCTGACCTCTCCCTCCCCTGGCGGCTAGTTCTTTCGCCAGACAGCTGGGGACAAACAAACCGAGAGGCAGCGCTTTGACAAATGAAGCTAAAGCAGGATCCTTTGTTTCCCTGAGGCCCACAAGCTGGCATTCCACAAGCTCATTAGGGGGCCATGAATTACTGGGAGGCCAGGCCTACACATCCTCCTCCTTGGCAATCCCTGTGGCCACACGTTCCCATGATCTGGGGGGCCAGACTCCACTGGTCCCAGTTCACATTCCATCCTGTCAGGGGACTCTCAAAAATAAATAATATTTACAGCAGAGTTCAGAGCTCGTGAAAGCCAAGGGGAGAAAAGTACCTTCAGAGAATCCACTGGACCTGTGGTTGTTAAAATGATTTTTCATGAGACCAGAAACCTTTGTAAGTATAATGACCCTGCACTTATCAACCCCCCCAATTCCAATGCTAAATGAAGGGCATAAAAAAGTAACAACTATAAAAAACAGGATATCTTCAGGATATAGAAAATGTTTCATTCAACAAATATGGTCAATGGTCATTGGCCACCTACAATGTTTAAGGTCTCCAGTTCAGGCTGTAAAACAGCCTTAGTTTAAAAAAAAAATTGACTATCTCTGCTTTATAGCAAGAACTTGGGAAGTCTAAATAAAAAGGGCCTGGAGGTCTCCTTATGCAAATATTCAAACTGAGCTGAAGGGACTCATTTTAGAATCCGGGGTAAGCACACTGCAACTCACCAGCTAGATCCAGCCCTCTGCCTGTTTTTATATGGCCCACGAGCTAAGAATGGCTTTTACATTCTTTAAATGGTTAGGGAAAAAAAAAAATCAAAAGAATAGTATTTCATGATACAAGAAAATGTATACAGAATTCAGATTTCCAAGTTTATAAATAAAGTTTTATTGGAACACTGTTACGTTCATTTATTTACCTACTCTCTGTGGCTGCTTTTACATTTGCAAAGGGAGAGCTGAGTAATGACAACAGAGATTGTAGGGCCTGCAAAACCCAAGATAGTTATGTTACAGATCAAATCCACCAAAGCATGAGAACACACACAAGTTCCTTCAAGGAGTAGAGGCAGGATTTGTTTTTCTTTTTAATGCCAATTTTGCTAATTTCCTATCGATAAGCCAGAATGCTACGCCCTGACACTCTGTTTTCTTGGACCTTTAGACCCTGATTCTAACACACAGGCTATCCCAGACATCTCTCAGGGAGTTCAATAACACAGAATACCAGGAGTCACGCCTGTCTTTGAGCAGACAGTCCTGTTGGTGGGGGGCTCCCCTCCCTATTCTGTACAGGCTCCAGTTGCGATCATGAGAAGCTGAGAGGCAATGCAACCACGTGGGGTGGCAGGCGATGCCTCAGGGAATGAACGGCAAGGCTGAAGCTGGCATTTCTACGGGGTTAATAAGCAGCCCACAGTGTCCCCAGTGGTTAAGTGTTGACATTCTCTCCAGTGTACTATCTAGAGAAGGAAGAAAAGTAGAAGCGGAGGACTGTAATACTTTTATGAAGGCAATCTCCCTATGGGATAGCATTTGTCCTCTGGAGGGTCAGGGGACTAAAAATGAGAGAGAGAAAAAAAGATATCCACATCACAGGGTTATCTGAAGCCCTGTTCACACCAGAGTGGTGATTCCCGACTCCATGGACACACTTGGGCAACCTGACAACCCTCTAGACAATGGCCATGGGTGACACTAGGTGTGACTCTCAGCTTTTAGTCACCTCTAGGCTTTTCATTTAGTACAGAAGATCCTCCTTGCTATTATAACGTTTCCTCTGCCTGAGGTAGTTGGAGCTCATCATTAATATATAATATGAAAGCACTGTCCTCCTACAAAGGATCCAAAGAATAATTTCTTTTAATAGAGATGTAACAGAGCACATGACCCCCCAAAATAACAAAACCAAAAAACCCCCCAACCTTTTGTAAACTCACCTAGAAAAATCTCCCTTTGCCTCCTGTAGAAGAAAAAAAGTCAACGTCAGTGAAACGTTCCAGTCCAGTGTGCCAGACTTTCAAACACATTCCCTGGTCACGACAACTTCTGTACTGAGGAAGCTCAGCTTACTACTTCTGTTGTCCAATCTGCTACAGGAAGCCGACAAGGAAAGACCAGGCATTTGCCACCTGAATCCGAGACACTAAATTACACTTTAGAAAGTTATATACAAAGAAAGCGATTCATAATGGCAAAATACACATTTCCCCTTCCTAGACCCTGGTTTACCTTTTTCTAGTTTAAAGATTCGGAATCGGAAGGTGTGTCTGGGTAGAGCTGTCTCTGTCTCGAGTTAATTGTGTTGTCTTGTACTGTGGGCTCCTTCCCGATTATACTACAGAGGAACCATGGAACCTTTAATGAATCTAGCACCATGCCTTGAATATGGTAGTTGTTCAATAAAGCTTTCTGGGAGAAATAAATTAATGACCTTCTTTCAATTCATCTTGCCAGTGTGATTAATTTGTCATTGTTGCTAATTTTCATTAATAACTCTTTTACGCATAAGCTAACGGTCTCTCCTTGCCTTTCCACACGGTATGAAATGATTCTCTTGACAATTAATTCTGCTATTGACTTGGCTTTCTCCAGAGTGGGGAGGGCACCAAACCTGAAGAAAATGGAGTCACTGAATGAATCTCAGTTTCCCCCAGACTAATGATATACACACAGTTTTCCTTTGCAGAGAGACACCATGATAAAACTTGGGAATACCAGAAGCTCCTATTTACTGCTATGGCGTAGCTCCTTCCCGTTAGTGCTATAAATAATTAAGATGATGAATAGGGAGAGGATATGGCAGCTAGCTGTGGATGCTAAATCTTATTCCTGTCTCTTCTGGGTCTGGCTCTGGGATGCACAGATGAGGGCAGAACAACCTACCTGTAAAATATAGGAGGCCAATTCAAATACCACTTCACTGTCAACGTCGATCAGCTCCTGAAAGGAAAAATCAACAAGGAAGGTAAGTTTGGTACTTTTACTGATTTCTTTACAACATCTCCTTAAAAAAAGGCCCGGTCTTCCTTTTCTGAGCTATACCCCAGAATCTCAAACCCTCAGAATATCTGTGGTCTGAATGACTTGACCCCAAATGCTCCCTGACATCCCATTCACGGCTTTTAGCCAGAAGGGACCCAGTGGTCCTGGGCCTTCTCAGTCACCTCAAAGGCCTTATCTGTTAAATCTTGAGAAATCAGGTTGTGGGCCAGTCCTGAGTGTTTTACAAATTTGTTAATCTGGTTCATCAATGGAGTAAGGTTACTTGATATCCAACTGTGTTTTCTTTGTAAACTCTACCTTAGAACCAGGAGTAAGGCTTTATTGAAGAAAAAAAAAAGTCATAACAGGATTGTAACTCTTCAAATTAAAAGGAAATGAAATTAAAAATACAGTTTCTCATTGCAATGGCCTCATTGCTTCAAGCACTAACAGTTGGATGTAGCTATTGGCTACCACGGGTTCGGAGCAGATACAGGGCACTTCCGTCATTGCAGAGAGTTCTTTAGACCAGCATTGCCACAGAATCTAAGTTTATTTATTTATTTTTTATTTTTTTAAAGAATTAATTTACTTATTTGTCAGAGAGAGCGAGCACAAGCAGGGGGAGCGGCAGGCAGAGGGAGAGGGTCCCCGCTGAGCAGGGAGCCCGATGCGGGGCTCCATCCCAGGACCCTGGGATCTGACTGAGCCACCCAGGTGCCCCACAGAGTCTAAGTTTAAAAATGCTTCTTTCCTTAAATACTTAATCATGGGGTGTCTGGGTGGCTCAGTCGTTAAGCGTCTGCCTTCGGCTCAGGTCATGATCCCAGGGTCCTGGGATCGAGCCCCGCATCGGGCTCCCTGCCCGGCGGGAAGCCTGCTTCTCCCTCTCCCCCTGCCGCTCCCCCTGCTTGTGTTCCCTTTCTTGCTGTGTCTCCCTCTGTCAAATAAATAAAATCTTTTTTAAAAAAAATATTTAATCACGATCTATGGATATGGTCTTAAAAGGACATAAACCTCTCCGTGGTTTTTGAAAAAAATCGAATACATATATATTTCAATATGTATATAGTTCATATCTGTTTCCTAAACACCTGTTTAAGGTGTAATTGATACACAAAAACCCTGCATGTTTAATATATACAATTTGAGGAGTGAGGCTGTGTGCAAACATCTGTGATACCATCACCACACTGAAGGTGATAAACACATCCATCACCTCCAAAAGTGTCTTCGTGTCCCTTTATGTGTGTGTGTGTTTACCACATGGTACAAAACACTTAACATGAGATCTACCCTCTTCACAGATTTTAAGTGCATGACACTGTATTGCCATATACAGTTTAGATCTTAGAAACAGAGGGAACTCTGGGGCGCCTGGGTGGCTCAGTCGATTAAGTGTCTGCCTTCTGCTCGGGTCATGATCCCAGCATACTGGGATCGAGGCCAGAGTGGGGCTCCTTGCTCAGCGGGGAGCCTGCTTCTCCCTCCCCCTTTCCCTCTGCTGCTTGTGCTCCCTTCTTGTGCTCTCTCTCTCTCTGTCAAATAAATAAGATCTTAAAAAAAACAAACAGAGGGAACTCTGGAGTCCATTAGCACAGAAAAATAATAAACAAATGAACTAATGTACTTCTGTTTTGAAACTTCAGTAGAAATGTCCATTTTTTTCTTTTTCTCTCTCTCATATCACTAGATGCTACAGCGGACGGGACCACAGCACGTTAGAGCTAAGCAAGGCTTCGACGACACCAGCTAGCCCAGCCCTCTGCTTTTATTGAGATCAGAAATCCAAAAATGTCAAAGGACTCTCCCAAAGCCACAAGGCCTTAAGAGGAGGCTGGAAACAATCCTGCAACCTCTTGTCTAGCAGGTGGACCTCCCGGAGTGCATGCATTCGCCTAAGTCAATAAGGATTCAGGGGTTATCACCTGACATTTGTTAGAATGGCTATTATCAAAAAGACAAGAAATGGCATGTGTTGGTGAGCATGTGGAGAAAAAGGAACCCTTGTGCACTCTCAGTGGGGGTATAAAGTGGGGCAGCCTCTACAGAAAACACAATGGAGGTTCCTCAAAAAATTAAAAATAGAAATAGCCTATGACCCAGCAAGTCCACTTCTGGGTACTTGTCCGAAGGAAATGAAAACACCAATTCGAAAAAAGATCTTCACCCCCCTGTTCACTGCAGCATTATTTATGACAGCCAGCTGTAAACATGGAAATAACCTAAGTGTCCATCAACTGATGAATGGATAAAGAAAATGTGGGATAGACACACTATGGAATATTACTCAGCCATAAAAAAGGACAAAATCTTGCCATTGGAACACCATGGATGGATCTTGAAGGCATTATGCTAAGTGAAATAAGCTAGACAGAGAAAGACGAGTATTATATGATATCACTTATACGTGGAATCCAAAAGAAAGAAAGGAAATTAAAATTCATAGATACAGAGAACAGGTTGGTGGTTGCCAGAGGCAGGGGGGTGGCAGCGGGGGAAGTGGGTAAAGGGGATCAACAGGTAAAAACTTCCCAGTTTATAAAATAAGTAAGTCCTGAGGATGTAATATACACCACAGTAACTATAGTGGTTATTATACCGTATATTTGAAGGCTGCTAAGAGAGGTAGATCTTGAAAGTTCTCATCGCAAGAAAAAAAATGTATATGTGGGGTGATGGATACTAACTAGACCTACTCTGGGAATCATTTCACAAGGTACACAAATATTGGATCATTATGTTGTACACCTGCAACTACTATGTCAATTCTCTTTCTAGTAAAAAAAATAAGGACTTGGTCTCAGCCAACATGTTCTCAGAACTGTATCTATCATCAAAGTTAGCTAAAACTAGAGTTACTTTTCCCTTGAATTATAAACCAAACTCATGGTTTTCTAATTAATTTCTTTTTGTGGTCCACAACTGGATCATGGAGTTCAAAACAACACACTCAAGCAAGCCTGTATCTTTTGAAGGAGGGATCTCATTTGGGCTCTTTCAGGCTCAGTAATTACAAAGATGGATAATCATATTTGCTACCGAACCACCTTAGAAGTGTGGGCTAAGAGAACCAAGGAGAGAACAGATGGAAGAATCGGGCACAATAATTCTTTATGCGTAACCAGCCGAGAGAGCTTTACGGCCACCATAATTGATATAGACTGTCAGGGTTGGGAGACAGGGGAATGCGTGCAATTGCCCTTCGGGGATTACCAGATCCCATCAGAATGTAAATCATTTAACAGTGTACAAATTAACAGGAACACTGTCCAGGGTTTCCACAATGGCCCATTTCTACTCACACGCCGTTCCTTTCCATTCCCACCAAGGACATGCTGAGCGCTCACGCGCACGGTCCCGTACGGGGATGTGTGCTCTCCTGTCAAACATTTACACCCACAGTGCAGCTAATGGTCGATGGCGGGCTAATCGTTAACCTTCGAGGAGAGGCTTATAACTAGCATGCAACTCAAAACCAGCCATCAGGAACAACCCTTTTAAGTGTGAACATAGCTTTTAGTTCATTATTTGACTCATCTGCTAAATGAAAATGTACCAGAGGGGAGGGGCAGGTTAGCAAAGGCAGAGGAAGGTCTTTGAAAATTTCATTTTATTTTATGCAGTCCGTTATACAATTCCAGGAGAGTCTGTCAGAGACGAACCTGGTGGTGAATGTGAACTGGAACGTGCCATTATTTAGAGTCAAACCTACCAAAAATGCATGATTCAAGGCCTGCCCCAATTTACCCAAGTTCTCCCTCACCGCACCCATCCTCAGGGTAACTGGGCATCCTCGCCCTTCAACTGGGGTGAGTTTTCACCTTCTCCGACCTTGACCGTCTCCCAGGGAAGATATTAAAAAAACAGGGCGAGTCAAAACGTGGCCAGGAAGAGGGAAAAGGATTAAAGACTGAAGTGGTTCAGACAGCGTGCACGCTTACACAACCCGATGGAAGAGAGTTGCCACCTAACCATCCAAAAGACAGCTCTGCCTTATTCTTACATGACTTCTCTGGCAATCCAGAGGTGGTGGTATCTTTCACGAGTCTCTGCTCCAGCAGAGAAAATAAGCTGCACGAGACGACAAAGAGGGCATGCCAAGTCGGCGCTGGGTTTTCGCTAGCTGAGGACAGCATGGGACAGGGGGAGTGGGAGAAGACCCGTCAGGAAAGAGCTGTAGGTGTTGCCCAGCTGGCCTGACCCAGAGGCCAGGGTATGACCCTCCTCTGTGCCCCTGAGGCTCTCAGAGCCACTGGAGAGGCGCATCTTCGGGGTGTTTGCTGAGCTCCAATCTTGCCTGGGAATCCAGGGTGGTCTGATGGGCATGTAAGAACTTTACCTTAGATGCACGAGTATGAAGAAGGTGCTGGCAGAAGAGAATGTGATGCCTTCTGGTTATTACGGCCATTCAGGGTGTACTCTGGGCATCCGTCTTACTACTGAGTAACATGTTTGGCTTTCTTTGGTCTTTTGAAAAATGCCACGGAAAGACAAAACGTGGCTATCTGCAGGTGTGCGCTTGGACGCTCAGAGTGGGGTTGGGGAGGATGGCCCCACTTCCTCCCACTCAGCATTGTTTGATCCCAGGTGATTCACTAGCCGAGGGAAGAGGCCTGAGGTCATTTATCAGCAGTGTAACTGTGAACAATATTCTCAGAAAGATTTCCATCTGTGGGTCTCCAAGAGTTCCAAATAAATGGCCCCAGGAGAACCGTGAGCGGCAGGTGTTAAAGACTTTTTCCAAAAGTACTGAGCACTGGAGGTCCTCTTCACGATCCCCTTGCTCTGAGGGGCTTGGTGGTGGTCTTCACACAGCTCAGGGATCTTAATGAAAAGCATTCCTCCGTGGTCGGATTTGAACAACAGAAATTCCAATTTTCCACATAAGATGAATAAGATAATTGTAACAGAAAACGTGATTAACCACCATACGATAGGATGACAAGATTTCAGTG